AATGATATCCTGTATTTTGGTTCATATTAATGGTTAAAAAACATAAATATTTAGTCTGTTAAATAAATGGTTATACTGTTCGGCCCGCGAGTTTTGAGTTTTGGCCCCCTGTGCAATTGAGTTTGACACCCCTGGTCTAATGGTTAAAAAAGTCAGAGAGAAAATAAGTCCATTGGTAAGTTAAGTAAAATTGATCAGAAAATAAGCATGTGTTCTGAACCAAGCAAATAGTGTGGGGGGACCAACATAGGGCCCACTGCCTGCCTCACTGATGCTTTCTTGCACCCCACTGTCTTGTTTATAGAAGCAGCACTGAATGCTCCTATGTCTCAAATATAGAGATCATGTACTATAATACCCAAACATATGAATGGAAATAAAGTGGGAAGTGGTGAGGAACCTGGGGTCCATGTAACGATTAAAAGCTGCATTTAGACTAGTCATTGGGACAGGTGAATTCTCCTGCCTTTCCCCAAAACAGCAATATAAGTGACTGGAGCTCAGTTCATTAGCTCACATCTAATATATTTAGAAAACGCAACTTGTACATCAAAAGGTCAATACCAAATTAATTAAAAAAAACTAAAAACTTGCTTTGTATTAAAGCTTTATTCCACTTCATATTCTAATTGCCCTTACTGAAGTGATGAAAAATCCCCATCTCATGGATCGGAAACATCTTCATTATTCAGTTAAATGTTTCCATCAAAGGAACCAGAGACTCAAGAATCTTGCCTCCACCTCTGCACTTTCTAAAAGTATGAAAGAAATCCAGAAGAAAAAAAATTTACCACCCACAAGATTTTAAGCCAGCATCCTTATCTGGGCCATGCTTAACGAAGGGTCACCAGCTGGCTGTTAAATAAAGGTCTGTGCCTTTCAAAAGGACTTTGAAATGAACAAGTGTTTTAAAAAGACATTTTTCTCTTTTTTTCCTACTAGTAAAAATGTGATCTATAGTAACACGGTAAAAGTATTTAAACAGTCATATTAGTCAAAAAGGCCATATGTTTAGGAAGTTTAATTAATAGAAACACCACTTTATACACTTAAATTGAGGGTTTCAGTTTCAAATAACGTGCAGAACAAGTGTGCCGTTATACATAAAATACATATTGTTCTTCCGGTCAGCCCTACAAACTCAACCTGGGATTTGTGCACCAGACTGTGTTCTTTCTTTTGCACACATTACCAACAGTAATAAAGATTCTGCAGGTCACATTATGCTGTATGACATCTGTATTACCTCATCTTCAGTGGCTTAGCACAAGCTTAACCAACTGAAAGTTGGTTAACAATTTTGCTAATGCACAGGCAGGTATAGAATACAGCTCACTCTCCTAACTGTGTTAGCTATGAATTACCAGGAATAAAATATAGTAAAGCTTACTTTTTGCTAAAATTGTCAAAAGAGACCAGACATACGAACAGGGAGCATGTCTAAATGGATGTCATTTTTACATACTCAATTTATCATAGTAGAGTTATACTTTAAACGTAAGGACCTTTTAACTGGACATAAAAAAAAAGAAAAAAAGAAAAGAAAAACCTAAATGGTACCTATTATAATACTTGACATTTCTAGGAAATCTCAAAGCCCTTCACAAATACAGGTTTCAATTCCTCTGAAAGGTAAATATTATTCCATTTTACTGATTGGTAAATTGAAGCAGAGTTAGAGTTACTTTGGGCAAGGTTAAGTAGCAGGGCTGGGGACTGAATCTCCTCCA